ATTAGTCACGCTTAGGAATGTCAATTAGTCATCAAAAGGAAGTGTAACTTCCGTCATTCGTAGGAAGTCTAGCTTCCGCCGTGCGCGCAGATTTGTAGGAAGTCTGGCTTCGCGCGCACGAGCGGCCTCAATCGGACTGGACTGTCTACGCATTGGCTGGCAGGCGCGAGGCAAAATATTATGCGCGTGCGCATTCCTAGTAAATTTAGCCCTTGTGTTCCTTCATACACTCTTTAAACTTACAGTTCCACTGCCTTCTCCAAAGGTGGCGAAACCGGATGCACTGATGGCGCGGGCAAAACCGAGCTCCTGACAGACGATGTTGGCGTCGATTTCACTCCAGTGGTCGTCGCAAACTGTCCCCCAGGATCCGCGGTGAAACACTTCGACTCTGCCTTCTCCTTCAGTGTTACCATTGACCAGTCTCACCAGTGGGTGGGACACTAAGGAGTGTGTGTGTGTGGGGGGGGGGTTAAAGAAAAGGGAGAGGTAAGGTGAAAAGAAGAGAGGAGAACTGTATAAGTGGTCTATATTCTTGTGTGTAGTCCGTTCACTCTCTGCTCATGGGTTGTTTAAAACCCAAACGTCGTTACAGAAATTGTCTCTTGAAGGTCAGTCTTTTACTTGGGCTAAGTGTTGACCTTATTTTTAGAAGTGTTCCAATAATAGTAATTGCCGAGCGCGTTAGCGTGAGGCAACTACTCCGGGTTGTATTCTTGCGATATGCGTACGTACGTACGTGTCGTCACACTTAAGAATGTCAATTAGTCACGCTTAGGAATGTCACTTCCGCCATTCGTAGGAAGTCTAGCTTCCGCCGTGCGAGCAGATTCGTAGGAAGTCTTGCTTCGCGCGCAGTCAGTAGAGCGCGCGCACGAGCGGCCTTAGTCGGAGTGTTTACGGCAGGCGCGAGGCAAAATATGCGCGTGCGCATTCCTAGTCCCTCAATTGACTCCGCAACTGTTGCTCTCCCACCACTCACGGTAGCATCGGACTCCCGCATCCTCCAGATGAACACAGTTGTGGACCCCGAATCGTGACGTGAGACACGACGTAATGATGCTCTCGCTTCCGAAACAATCAACGTCGTCCAACCAGATTGGCTGGTCGGGATCTCCGGCTCCGAAATATCCGTTAGAAAGGGCTTCAATGGCCGACTCGAAGCCCAGATATCGGCATACGACCTATGTACGTGAGGGAGGGAGGGAGGGAGGGAGGGAAGGAGGGAAGGAGAGAGGGAGAGATGGAGAAAGAGAGAGAGAGAGCAATGGAGGAAGGGCAGGGGAGACAAAACGAAGAAAGGGGAGTGAAGGAAGAAAGGAGAAGAAAAGACACAGGAACAAAGTTAAACCACTAAACATGATGAGATTTCCACTTTGTATAAGTCCCCCATGTTCCACTTTAGAACAGCTCCCCCCCATGTTCAACCCCCCATGGGGGAATTTTTAGACCCCTGACCTCAGCGTCTCGGAAGTCCCACGAGTCATCACAGATCGTTCCCCACGTGTTGTTGAAGAAGATCTCCACACGTCCCTCGGTGGCGTTGACCCCGCCCACCAGTCGGAGGTCCGTCACCGGAGACGGTGTGATGTGGTCTGGGATTACATAATCATTACATCATACCAAAATGCATCTAGGTAATGCACAGATGTCATCAAATATGAGGTGTCCTCATTTCAAGGGTGTGTATGTAAAAGAAAAATCAAAGCACAGCAAACCATCGGGATAACAATGACATCATAGTTTCATCATGTATCCAATTACATCATAATGACATCATACCGCTGCAATTGACTCCGGCATCCTCGTAGTGCCGACAGTTGTGTTGCCCGAGGCCTGTGCTGGAGCACTCGAACAGAGAGGTTTCCGTGCCAACGCACGCCACATCGTCCAACCAGATCGGACCTAGTACACAGCAAAGGTCACATGACTAACCACACCCCTCCTGATTTTCTCACTCTCTTTTGCTTGTATTGTGTGTTGCATGTTGCGTCACCTTTCTAAATTCACAGACTATAGCTAAAATATTTTCTGAAATTCGCAGATTTTTTAAAAAATCACCAATTTGGGCATGTCCCACATGCCTCCAACCTATTTGTAAAACTTTTGTGAATTTTACTTCGTTTTTGTTTTTTTGTCGTCGCAGAAGCGTATACACAATATACACCTTCTCCGGTTCCGAAGCGAGAGAACAGCTCTGCGCTGATGGCCTCGGCGTAACCCAGCTGTCTGCAGACCACGGTGGCGTCTCTGAGGTCCCAGTAATCGTCGCACACCGTCCCCCACGTGCCGTTGTAGTACACCTCAACCCTGCCCTCCATTTCCGAGTGGCCGTCTCTTAGACGAATCGGAAGTAGCTCGCCTGATGGGAGAGAGAGGAGAGGGAGGGAAATATTTTAACCGTACTCCCAACAAAAATGTTAACCCATTAAAGAATTTAATGGCAGTAAAAAGTAATTCTAAATGATGGACCTGTAGCATTGTGGCACCCAATATTGAAAGTATTTGCCTAAACTAGAAATGTAAAAGGGCCCAGTTCAAGAATGCATATGTATATACGTTTTCAGTATATTAGCCCATATATACTGCCACATCCCCTTTATACTTTTTTCAGGAGAAAACAAGTGTTCTCCCCCCAATTAACGCTCACCTTGACAAACAACTCCGGCGTCTTCTCTATGTATGCAGTTATGGTCGCCCCAGCCGTTGTTACGACACTCGTCAAGCGAGTTTTCGTAACCGGTACAGGCGACATTGTCGAGCCAGATCTCGCCTGTGCCCTGACCAAACTCCGCCCTGACTGTTGCGCGACTGGCGTTTGCGTAGCCCAGTTGGTGGCATACCACCTGCGGGAGAGAGAGAGAGGGATTGGAGAGGAGTCAATTATCGCAAAACCTTTACTATAGCTGAAGGGTGCAAGTGCTAATATTCTAGAATGGGAGATTTTCACCTATTTTCACCTTCAACATGTTCTTACAAGATACCCAACTTTCACTTTCAACATTGGTACTCTTACATCGGCATCCTGTTGTCCCCAGCTGTCGTCACAAACAGTTCCCCACTCTCCTTGATAGTATATCTCCACTCTTCCCTCGTGTGGGTCACTGCCTCCTACCAGTCGTTATTGTATACTCACTGGCTGTGTAGTCTGCAAAGTAGAGAGGGGGAGGATAGAAATGAGCGATAGTGTGTGAGGAGCGAACGTCGCGAGAGCGACGCGCAACCGTCCTCTCTTTTGTCGTTCTCTCCCGTCTCGCGTTTTCGTTATCTCCTCCCTTCTCTCTTTTTTCTTTCTCTCCTTCTTCTTTTTCTGTCGCTACCACTTCGCTGTTTTGTTTTTCTCTCCCTTTCTCTTGTCTTCTCGCCCCCTTCTCATCTTAATTCTCTCTCTCCTTCTCTCTTTTTCTGCTCTCCCTCTCTCTGTCTTTCTCTCCTTCTCTCTTTTTTCTTTCTCTCCTTCTCTCGTTGTGTTTCTTTCTCTCCCTTCTTCTTTTTTTCTTTCTCTCCCTTCCCTCCCTTTCCTTTTTCTCTCTCCCTTCTCTCTATTCGCCCTTTCTCTCCCTCGCTCATCCCGTCTTACCTCCCTCCGTCCCCTCCGTCCCTCCCTGTTCCTCTCTCTCCCGTCCCTCTCTTCTCCGGTCGATCTCTTAGGATCATATAGACACCAAGAGCAGCGCCACAAACTATCACGTCATAAGACACTAGATCTTTACTGGTGCAGGAGACGCCAGCTTGTTGAGTTTTGTCACAGTTTCGGCTGATACTAGAGCTATGAGAGCATTCAAATATCTCTCTCTCGGTCCCGGCACAGCGCACGTTGTCCAGGAACGTATCACCGTCTACTGGTCCATGGAATGATCTGTAGGGGGAGGGAAGATTACTAGAATATCACTAGAAGATTACTGAAGATTACTAGAAAATGGGATTACTAAAATGGAAAAGTGGCCTGGAAAGAAAACAGGAAGGTTTTACTAGAAGTTTTACTATGGTTTACTGAGTAGTTTCCAATAGTTTACTAGAAATTTCAGAGGTTTACTATATACAAGTTCATTAAAAATTTCCAAGGGTTTACTAAAATTTACTAGCCTGATATAGGCGCGAACTGCAGTTGCGAAGCCAAGCATATGGCAGGCAACGACGGCCTCAGAGTAACCCCAGTAATCATCGCAAATGGCGCTCCAGGTTCCGTTGTGAAGGATTTCCACCGTCCCCTCGTTGGGGGTGGTGATCGTCCCATTTGTGACTAGTCTTATTGGATAGGTGTAGTCATTCTGAGGACCGCGAGCTGCAGTGATGAGAGAAAAAAAATTTCAACTCCATTGGCAATTTTTTGTGGCTCAAAACACTAGGAAATGTACACGTAGAGGTAAAACAAGTGTACATCAATTGAAATTCGTACAGAATAAGTTAGGCAGCTTGTTTTTTGAGATCTAGAACACTGCACATACCTTAAATACGCACGAATAAAATTCGTGTCATCCTAAACACCCGTGAAAATTAATATTGAACTGGTCACTTCAATCAATCCAGTATTCTCTAGGGAACTCTAGTAATCTTCCAGTATTCTCTAGGAAACTCTAGTAATCTTCCAGTATTCTCTAGGAAACTCTAGTAATCCTCCAGTATTCTCTAGGAAACTCTAGTAATCTTCCAGTATTCTCTAGGAAACTCTAGTAGTCTTCTGGTTAAAATGTAAATGCAACGTACAGTTGCAGCGAACTCCAGCATCCTCTGAGTGGGCACAGTTGTGGAGGTAAAACCCAGAGTTGGGGCAGTCAGTCACGTACAGCTCAAGTCCAGTGCAGTTCACATCGTCCAGTACAATTGGACCCGATCCCTGGGAAAAAATTTGATTTTTATTTGAAAGCGAATAATTTACGCCTTGCAATCTGTTTTTAAATTTAACGTTGCTATGAACGGTACCGTATTTTTGCTAAAGTATATATTTTCTCAGTGGGGATGTAGACACAAAACTGGCTTTGCTCAGGGAAAAAATTTTTACGGTGACGATGAAAAATGTCAGACCTCTCCGAAATGAGCAAACGGGAGTGCCGCGGCGCCCTCGGCGAGATAGCCCAGCTGTCGGCACACCACCTCGGCATCTGCCGGGTCCCAGATGTCGTCGCATATCGTGCCCCACTGCCCCTGGACCAGAATCTCCACCCTTCCCTCGTGGGCCACCGACCCTCCCACCAGACGGATCGGCGGCGGGCCCTCCTCCGTTCCTGGGTACGTGTACATATGTACTCGAATCAGTGCTCTCTCAGTAATCTCCCAGGAAATTCTAGTAATCTCTAATCAACTGAACATAATAATATGTTGATCCTGCACATCTATTTCGGTGAACTCTCAGTAATTTCCCAGGAAACTCAAGACACTTGGTATCTCTAGTATTCTCTCAGTATTCTCTAGGAAACTCTAGTAATCTCACCGATGCACATGACTCCAGCTATAGTGCTGTCGTCGCAATACCACTGAGGTATGTACGGAGAGTAACGGAAACCGGTGCAGTTTGCCAGCTGGCTTTCTTGTCCGAAGCAATCGGTGTACGCCATGACAGTTGTTAGTCCACTGTCGCCATAGTAGGAGCTGTGAGTAGCATTGTAGGCACCTGTAGAGGGTGAAAATTTCTCCCAACTTTTTTTTCTTCAAATTTTAGTTTGAGGACTCCTCCTGAGCCCTTTAATCACTGGTTAAATATCAAATCATGCCCCTCTCAAATTCATTTGTTAAAACTTTATCCTTACTAAAATTTTTTGGTATTTCAGATTTGTGTTGGGCCATGTGGCATGTAAGTAAGGGAAAGGAAGGCTAAAAAGACAACACAAAAGGCTTATTAATGTAGGACTGGCTATAAATGGTGGGTCAGAGTGCACAGTGCTAGTGACACCACATAAGCCTTTGCCACACCCCCAGATTTAACCCCTCACACTCTCCCAACTCTAGTACCGTACGTACCATCATATCCGAGTTGTCTGCAGACTACGTTGGCGTCTTGAAGCGTCCAGAAAATATCACAAATAGTGCCCCATCTAAAAGATTTGCAAACTCCTGTAATCTGGTAGTCAGTTATCTAACTAGTATTTTAGGCAGTAATCTCTCAGTAATCTGACCAGTAATCTCTCACCTGTTCTGGTAGAATATTTCAACAGTTCCCTCATTCGGTCGAGTTCCATTCGAGAGACGAACAGGAATCAAAAATGGCGAACCTTCAAAAAAGAGTAAAAGTATTTCAAAGGCTCTTTCGTGTCATATAGCTCCCGAAAAGGATGAAGCATTTTCATAGTTAACGCGTCTGGGCGCTAACGAATATCTACACAGTGATTCGGTGCATGCGTGCTATGCCAGGAAATCCGGCGCATGTGCACTATGCCTGGAGTTCCAGCGCATGCACCCTATGCCTGGAGTTCCAGCGCATGCGCACTATGCCCGGAGTTCCAGCGCATGCGCACTATGCCAGGAGTTCTATGCCCGAATTTCCAGCGCATGCACACTATGCCCGGAGTTCCAGCGCATGCGCACTATGCCCGAGTTCCAGCGCATGCGCACTATGCCCGGAGTTTTCTATGCCCGAAGTTCCAGCGCATGCACACTATGCCCGAAGTTCCAGCGCATGCGCACTATGCCCGGAGTTCCAGCGCATGCGCACTATGCCCGGAGTTCCAGCGCATGCGCACTATGCCCGAAGTTCCAGCGCATGCGCACTATGCCAGGAGTTTTCTATGCCCGAAGTTCCAGCGCATGCACACTATGCCCGAAGTTCCAGCGCATGCGCACTATGCCCGGGGTTCCAGCGCATGCGCACTATGCCCGGAGTTCCAGCGCATGCGCACACACTCGCAGCAAGCCGTAGCGTGCACAAGCGACCAGTTTCTCGATGCAGACTTTAAACTGTTATCATTCAAATGTAGATTACATACCTTGACAGACGACTCCAGCGTCTTGGTAGTGGTAGCAGTCATGATTTCCAAAGCCACTGTGGCTGCAGTTGGACAGATACATTTCTGACCCCGTGCACCCCACGTCGTCCAACCAGATCGGTTGGCTCGACGACGCAAAGCCGAACTGCGTGCCTCGTACGGCCGTAGCGGTGCCATAGAAACCGAGTTGGTGGCAGACGACCTGCGCATCTCCAGATCCCCAGTCGTCGCCACATACCGTTCCTTGGGAGGGAGATAGAGAGTGTGTGGGTTACTCTCTAAGGACACCCCCGAAATGAACCCCATACCCCGGTGACTTACCCCATACCCCGGGACTTACCCCATACCCCGGCGACTTACCCCATACCCCGGGACTTACCCCATACCTCGGTGACTTACCCCACACTCCTTCGTGCAGAACTTCGACGCGGCCTTCCATTGAACTGGAACCTCCGACCAGTCTCACATCACTACCTGGCTGTCGGTCTATATAGAGAGACAGAGACCCTGTTATATACAGGACACTTTGAGCAACTTTGTAAACCTTTGGATTAGACTAAATCCTACGCCAAAACTAAACACCAGTTCGGCTTAAACTAGTTTGTGTGTGTAAACTGTCTTAACCATTTTCATTTCTAGGAGTTGGTTTTGCAAACTTTAAAAGTCCTAAAACTAGTTACACGCATACACCTGTTTACAGTTGCTGTGTGTATGGCGCTCAAGAGAGGGGAGAGAGAGAGAAAGAGAGAGGAGAGAGAGAAGTAGAGAGAGGGGTTAGAGAGGAGGGAAGGACATACACGAGCAGACAACGGAGGCGTCCTCGAAGTGGTAGCAGTTGTGAACGCCCCAGCCAGGGAAGTCGCATTGGTCAATCCTGGACTCTGTTCCCTCGCACTGGACATCGTCCATCCAGATCGGTCCCGTTCCGGTACCAAACACGGCACTGTACCCCACCTCGTCCGCATACGTGTACCCCAACGTCCTGCAACACAAATTAAACCGCAACTGAAACCTCTGTAAAAACAGCACTCTACTCTTTAGAACATTCTCCATACAAATGGTGATGGCGATACAGTAATGCTTTACAAACAGATTAAATTCCACACTCGTCTTTTCATTGGTGTTGGATTCGTAATAGAAATATGTATATTTGCTGCTTGCCTGCAAATGACGTCGCCGTCGGCCAAACTCCAGTAGTCATCACAAATAGTTCCCCAGACTCCGTAAAAGTTGACTTCTACGCGGCCTTCGAATGCGTGACCGTTCTCGTCGAGACTTCCGTTGTTGTTTATGGCGAGGCGGACTTTAGGAGCATCTGGTACTACGTCGTCGACTGGGGATTATTGGGAGGGGAGATAGAAGAAACAGCAGTGAGTAAATTCACTAAGCTCTGACAATGTTATGAGCCGAATCACTACATTCATAGGATAGTGTAGGTTGGTGGAGTGGGCAGTAAAGTGGAGTCAGAAGGTCTGAATGAGGTCTGAATGACCTAACAGTTCCCACATTACAGAGGACCCACAAGAGAGGGAAGTGGCTAATATACTCTGAACCTCACAACACACAAACACAGGCAAGACATACAAGGTCAGACAGGGAAGTTGCTAATATGCTACAAACTATGTAGTGGAAAGGGAAGTCAGATAATATTATATTATATGCCCCATGCACACTGGCCAGCTTTTTTGCCCTAGGCTCATTTTTCTTTGAAAAAGGTGTTATCCTAGGTGTAGTTGATAATTGCCTCTAGTGTTGATTCACATCCCCAGTCTAATTATTAGACGGGGAGTCTACTTCAACTACAAACCCATGTAATAAGGCTGTAAGCTGATAAGAACGTTGGCTGGGCTCGGAATAAAGCACACACACAGGCTATGAATATTACTACAGGTGTTCAAATCTTCGGCTCTCTGATCCAGTCATTCCAACACAACACACCTCATTTACCTGAAAAAGCTGTCCCATTTAAACCCAGAGTAATAATATCTTCATATGACCAAGTTGGTCATATCAGTGCTTGGAGGAACCTTTACATTAGCAAGCGATGTCAGTGTTGTACTATTGCATCACATGCACTAGGTCATCCCTGTCTGGTCTCCTTCCCATACCATCCCTATCATTAAGAACTTTTTATTTGGGACGTACTAGTACAGAAGACGCCAGCATCTTCATAGTGAGAGCAGTCGTGGACGCCAGTGGTCCTGTGGTGACACTCGCTGAGGGCCACTTCGTCTCCATGGCACAGAACTTCGTCCCAGTAAATGGGGACCGTGGAGGGCGCCACTTGCGCGTACTCCGAGCGACTCGACGCCAGCAAGGCACCGAAGAAACCTGTTGAGAGGGAGAAAAAATTATTAGCAGGGAAAAATAAGAATGGTGAATTTCTTAGTTTGGGAAGACAGGCTGACATAAAATTATTTACGAGCACTAAATTGTAAAAAGGCAAAATTGAAATTTCCGAACGAGCAAAACAATTTTGCAGGGCCAAATTTTTCTGGTATTTGAGTGTACCAAGTTGTCTGCAGGCAATGTCGGCATCTTCAATTCCCCATCCGTCGTCACATACTGTACCCCACGTGTTGTTGATGAACATCTCAACTCTACCGTACTGCAAATCTCCACCGGTGGAGTTTGAGGTTGCGGATCCATTGTTGAGACGAATAGGGACGTAGGTGAATGGATTGTGAGAGGCTGGGGAGGAGGGGGGGAGGGGAGGGAGAGAAAGAGAAGAGAGATGGAGGTAAGAAAGATTAAATGAACACATACAAGGTCGGTTTTTCAAAGTTTTGATGAAACGAAATTTGCCTGTCAGCATTTCCCTAACTTGTAACCCCAGTTCAAAACCTGTTCATCTTATGGATGGCATGCTATGCATCGAGTAACCAACAACATATTTCGTGACTCAAAACTTAGAAGTAGCAAGGCGAAAGAGGACGGGAGGATCAATGGTTGTGATGATAGTCAAAAGCACGTGAACATACCTCGGAGTGTGGGAGAGCCCCACAGCTTACCCATACCAATCGCTTCTCACATTCTGGCAACACTTAATGCATAACAAACCCAATGTTCATACGTACGTAGTAATTATGCATCGTCAATAATGATTACACAACAGTGAAGCACATCTAATCCAGAGTGGGACATGGTAACGAGAAGCCCCACCATTTTTATACTCTTTCTTCCAATAGAAGTGGTCTAAGAGGAAAGGGCATGGGGCTTGAATTTCCTGGAAACTGAGGCTAGGTCCTCAACACACAGCTTGGCAATATTGTAAGTGGGAGGAGGAACGTTGTTCACTTTCCTACGGAAGGCCACGATTCGATCGGACGTGTGAGTGCATAACTTGTAGGCAACTTCCAGTGAGCTCCTTTGTGGCCAAATGTTAGCTGTTTTTTGGCAAACAGAACTCCCGATACACTGAAAAATGATATTCTATACCTGGAGTGCAGATAACGCCAGCGTCTTCACTATGTCTGCAGTTGTGACTCCCCCATCCAGGGAAGGTACACTCGGCAATGGAGGTCTCGTGACCCGTGCACTGGAGATTGTCCATCCAAATCAGCCCGTTTCCTCCAGGGAATGCTCCTCCTCTAATATTAAAAAAAATTCTCAATTAACCCTTAGCAAGCCACGGGCATATGCCCAGAGCCTCCATAAGGCTATAAGAATTTATATATTATGGCTATAATACTAGGCATTAATATTATGATATACATCAATTTCTGCTTATTTAAGGAGATGCCCATGGCCTCCACTTTGAGGTCCCAATGTATGCTTTTCTATGGTTTTACGTATGTGTGACCCTCTAAAATGAATTTTTGCACCAAATGGTCTTTTCCCAGAGCAGGTCACATATAGTACATTTTTAACCTTAGAAAAAAGGACAACTTTTCAAAATGCTTGTCCTCAATGTGTCCTCTATTCAGAGGTTCCACTGTACATGCTGTATTGAAATGGGGTGGAGGGAGGGGGGAGGGGCTTACTGCCGAGAGTCATCAGCTCCAGGGAACCCTAGTTCGTGACAGATGACAACAGCTTCCTCGAAACCGAAGAAATCGTCGCAAATGCTGCCCCATTCGCCATCATGGTAGACTTCGACTCGACCTTGATTCGGAACATCACCGTCCACCAGTCGTACTGCAAAATCTACACAAGGAGAGAGGAATTTACTAGAATATCCTGAAGTACAGCAAAAGATTACTAGAATATCCTGAAGTATATACAACAAAACACTCAAGAATACTGAAATACTACTAGAATATCCTGAAGTGCACGGCCTACCATCGGTGCAGACGACACCAGAGTCATTATTGTGACCGCATTCCGGTCCGACTCTGTTCCATGTCACATCACAGTTGACGAGAGACGTCTCGGTTCCATTACACCCAACATCTTCCAGGAGAATGGGTACATTGCTGTCTGCAGTTATAGAAGGAGAACGTAACACTCGATTCGGCAAAATCAGTTGAAGGGAGGAGGGGGACAATGTGGCCTTGTGGATTAGAAATTTGCACGTTGTAAAACATAAAAAATAGGCCGATTCCCCCCTGAAATTAACCCCTAAATATACACACAAATTCAATTTTCAGGTCCTACTTTTGAAGAAAAAGACACAACGAGCTCAATCTCTCGGTCAGTATTTGTAAACCAGACTCAATGTCTATTGACTGACTTGCAGGTCCATAGAAGCCATCAGTGACGGGACGGACAGCGGTACCAAAGCCGGCCATGACGCAAATGACGTGTGCGTCTTCCCAATCGAAGCCACGACTGCAGATAGTACCCCATTGGCCACTGTAGTACACCTCCACCCTTCCTTCGTACTGACTTCCAGGTCCCTGGGTGACCGTGTTTGTGAGTCTCACGTAGATATCTTGGGCTGGTGGAAACGGTGAGAGGGAGGGAGGAAGCAAAAGACAGAAGGGGGAATATTTCAAGATCGTAGTTATTCACATACGTAACGTTAGTCTCTGTTCAGGGCTAGCATTGATCTTCAGGTGCACGAACTAATGCGACAAGGTTACATGACGCAAAGCATGCATACATGCATGAAGCCTGCCTGCAGCGCGAGCATGCACTGTTCAGTTTGTAACGCAATCCGAGCCCCAGCTGCCTAGGCAGGAACCAACGCGACGCTTCGATCGATCTTTCAGTGACAGCTGCCTCGATCTCTCTCACCAGACGCCAGAGACATCCACAGTGCCAACAAGAGAATCGTGGAGCTACCCTGCATCTCTCTCTCCTCTCAATCAACAGCAGCAAGAGCAGAAAAACGACACGAACCGGGGGAGACGGCCAGCTAGCAGGCTCCGTATGCTCAGTTGAGAACTTCCGTATATTACCGGATTCCCTATACTTATTCTCGCACACGTGACAAGGTGAAACCCCCGAGAGCAGCGCATGCGCGTAACTGGGGCGAAAACGTCTCCTTCTCAAACTTCGTCTGTTTTATGGACATGAGGTATCGTATCGCTCTACCCTCTGTGCTCCAGTGTCATTGACCAGCAGTCAGAAAATATGGCTGTCATTTGCCGAGATTACGAGTGATCGACCCAAGTTTCAGCTGTCCAGCAGAGCGTGGGCTCTATCTGGTCGCCAGGTGCCAGATTATGCGGGGGCTCTATCGTATTTCCGATTATCTGGACTGGAACTTCAGATTTCATGTTTATACTTTAACTGTTTGACTGTATGCATATGCCCCTCGGGTCCTGCAAAATGAACTTTGAACTTTGAATTCCACCTGTCAGAGTAAGTATAGGGAATCCGGTAATAATTATACCTACGGAAGTTCTCAACTGAATATACGGAGTCTGCTAGCTGTCTCCCCCCGTTTGTGTCTTTTTTTCTGCTCTTGCTGCTGTTGATTGAGAGGAGAGAGAGATGCGGGGTAGCTCCACGATTCTCTTGTTGGCACTGTGGATGTCTCTGGCGTCTGGTGAGAGAGATCGAGGCAGCTGTCACTCCTTGTAGCTGAAAGATCGAAGCGCCGCGTTGGTTCCTGCCTAGGCAGCTGGGGCTCGGGGATTGCGTTACAAACTGAACAGTGCACGCTGCAGGCAGGCTTCATGCATGTATGCGTCGTGTATCCTTGTCGCATTAGTGTTTGTGTCGTCATTGCACCTGAAAATCAATGCTAGCCCTGAACAGAGACTAACGTTACGTAATGTGAATAACTACGATCTTGCAATACTCCCCCTTCTGTCTTTTGCTTCCTCCCTCCCTCTCACCGTTTCCACCAGCCCAAGATATCTATGTGAGACTCACAAACACGGTCACCCAGGGACCTGGAAGTCAGTACGAAGGAAGGGTGGAGGTGTACTACAGTGGCCAATGGGGTACTATCTGCAGTCGTGGCTTCGATTGGGAAGACGCACACGTCATTTGCGTCATGGCCGGCTTTGGTACCGCTGTCCGTCCCGTCACTGATGGCTTCTATGGACCTGCAAGTCAGTCAATAGACATTGAGTCTGGTTTACAAATACTGACCGAGAGATTGAGCTCGTTGTGTCTTTTTCTTCAAAAGTAGGACCTGAAAATTGAATTTGTGTGTATATTTATGGGTTAATTTCAGGGGGGAATCGGCCTATTTTTTATGTTTTACAACGTGCAAATTTCTAATCCACAAGGCCACATTGTCCCCCTCCTCCCTTCAACTGATTTTGCCGAATCGAGTGTTACGTTCTCTTTCTATAACTGCAGACAGCAATGTACCCATTCTCCTGGAAGATGTTGGGTGTAACGGAACCGAGACGTCTCTCGTCAACTGTGATGTGACATGGAACAGAGTCGGATCGGAATGCGGTCACAAGAATGACTCTGGTGTCGTCTGCACCGATGGTAGGCCGTGCACTTCAGGATATTATATATAGTAGTATTTCAGTATTCTTGAGTGTTTTGTTCTATATACTTCAGGATATTCTAGTAATCTTTTGCTGTACTTCAGGATATTCTAGTAAATTCCTCTCTCCTTGTGTAGATTTTGCAGTACGACTGGTGGACGGTGATGTTCCATATCGAGGTCGAGTCGAAGTCTACCATGATGGCGAATGGGGCAGCATTTGCGACGATTTTTTCGGTTTCGAGGAAGCTGTTGTCATCTGTCACGAACTAGGGTTCCCTGGAGCTGATGACTCTCATGGGTAAGCCCCTCCCCCTCTCTCCACCCTCTCTCCACCCCATTTCAACACAACATGTACAGTGGAACCTCTGAATAGAGGACACATTGAGGGCAAGCATTTTGAAAGTTTGTCCTTTTTTCAGAGGTTAAAAATGTACTATATATATAGACCATAGAAAAGCATACATTTGGGACCTCAAAGAGTGTGTCCTTAAAACCCTTTGGACGCCATGGGCATCTCCTTATATAAGCAGAAATTGATGTATATGATATAGCTATATATATAAATTCTTATGGACTTATGGAGGCTCTGGGCATATATGTATGTATATATAATTATGTAATATGCCCATGGCTGGCTAAGAGTTAATTGAGAATTGTTTGTTTTTTTTACATTAGAGGAGGAGCATTCCCTGGAGGAAACGGGCTGATTTGGATGGACAATCTCCAGTGCACGGGTCACGAGACGTCCATTGCGGAGTGTACCTTCCCCGGATGGGGGAGTCACAACTGCAGACATACTGAAGACGCTGGCGTTACTTGCACTCCAGGTATAGAATATCATTTTCAGTGTATCGGGGGTTAGGTTGGTCCTGTTAGCCAAAACAACCAACATTTGACTACAAAGGAGCTCATTATGTGTTCATTTAATCTTTCTTACCTCCACCTCTCTTCTCTTTCTCTCCCTTCCTGCCATCTCCTTCTCTTTCGCCCTACTGTTCCCTTACCTCTTAACGTCCCTCCCTCCCCTCCCTCCCCTCCCCTCCCTCCCCAGCCTCTCACAATCCATTCACCTACGTCCCTATTCGTCTCAACAATGGATCCGCCAACTCAAACTCCACCGGTGGAGATTTGCAGTTCGGTAGAGTTGAGATGTTCATCAACAACACGTGGGGTACAGTATGTGACGACGGATGGGGAATTGAAGATGCCGACATTGCCTGCAGACAACTTGGTACACTCAAATACCTGAAAAATATGGCCCTGCAAAATTGTTTTGCTCGTTTGGAAATTTCAATTTTGGCCTTTTAAAATTTTAGTGCCTCGTAAATAATTTTATGTCAGCCTGTCTTCCCAAACTAAGAAATTCACCATTCTTATTTTTCCCTGCTAATAATTTTTCTCCCTCTCAACAATAATTTTAATGGTTTAAAAATTCACTCTGCTAGTAAATTTTTCTCCCTCTCAACAGGTTTCTTCGGTGCCTTGCTAGCGTCGAGTCGCTCGGAGTACGCCCAAGTGGCGCCCTCCACGGTCCCCATTTACTGGGACGAAGTTCTGTGCCACGGAGACGAAGTGGCCCTCAGCGAGTGTCACCACAGGACCACTGGCGTCCATGACTGCTCTCACTATGAAGATGCTGGCGTCTTCTGTACCAGTACGTTCCAAATAAAAAGTTCTTAATGATAGGGATGGTATGGGAAGGAGACCAGACAGGGATGACCTAGTGCATGTGATGCAGTAGTACAACACTGACATCGTTTGCTAGTGTAAAGTTTCCTCCAAGCACTGATATGACCAACTTGGTCATATGAAGATATTACTCTGGGTTTAAATGGGACAGCTTTTTCAGGCGCTTAGCGAATTTACTCACTGCTGTTTCTTCTATCTCCCCTCCCAATAATCCCCAGTCGGCGACATAGTACCAGATGCTCCTCGAGTCCGCCTCGCCATAAACAACAACGGAAGTCTCGACGAGGGCGGTCACCCATTCGAAGGCCGCGTAGAAGTCAACTTTTACGGAGTCTGGGGAACTATTTGTGATGACTACTGGAATTTGGCCGACGGCGACGTCATTTGCAGGCAAGCAGCAAATACATTTCTAATACGAATCCAACACCAATGAAAAGACGAGTGTGGAATTTAATCTGTTTGTAAAGCATTACTGTATCGCCAGCACCATTTGTATGGAGAATGTTCTAAAGATCAAGTAGAGTGCTGTTTTTACAGAGGTTTCAGTTGCGGTTTAATTTGTGTTGCAGGATGTTGGGGTACACGTATGCGGATGAGGTGGGGTACAGTGCCGTGTTTGGTACCGGAACGGGACCGATCTGGATGGACGATGTCCAGTGCGAGGGAACGGAAGACAGGATTGACCAATGCGACTTCCCTGGCTGGGGCGTTCACAACTGCTACCACTTCGAGGACGCCTCCGTTGTCTGCTCGAGTATGTCCTTCCCTCCTCTCTAACCCCTCTCTCTACTTCTCTCTCTCTCTCTCTAATTTTCTCTCTCCTCTCTCTACTTCTCTCTCTCCTCTCTAATTTTCTCTCTCCTCTCTCTTTCTCTCTCTCTCTCTCATTTTCTCTCTCCTCTCTCTTTCTCTCTCTCTCTCTAATTCTCTCTCTCCTCTCTCTTTCTCTCTCTCCCCTCTCTTGAGCACCATACACACAGCCACTGTAAACAGGTGTATGCGTGTAACTAGTTTTAGGACTTTTAAAGTTTGCAAAACCAACTCCTGGAAATGAAAATGGTTAAGACAGTTTACACACACAAACTAGTTTAAGCGAAACTGTTGTTTAGTTTTGGCGTAGGATATAGTCTAATCCAAAGGTTTACAAAGTTGCTCAAAGTGTCCTTTAGAGTGAGCTAGGTCCGAATTGACCAATCAGATTGCAAAGCCGAGGTTTACTATTTCCCGTAGTAAACCTCGACGGGGTTTACTACATGTAGTAAACCTACAAAAACTACAGGAAAGCATAACAAAATGTACATGTTGTTACATGGCATCACATGGTCTATTGTTACATGTAAACAACAAGATCAACAACTGAATCTACATTGACGCGTCGTCCACGCGCATGCGCAGACCATGCACGCAGGGAAAGAAGGCGGAGTCATTACCACGCATCTCTTCTGCAGCTTTCGCTTCTACAGTTTGGCAATAGTTATTATATATACTCACATTTCAAAACACACTTCATTAGTTTTTGCGTTCTTCGTATTTCGTACGTAGTTTGCCATTCGTGGTTACTTCCCCCACCCCCACAAGACACATGTTGACAAATCAGCGTCTAACTATTATGTATATAACAGGGAATGTTGGTCTCTGTCTCTCTAGACCGACAGCCAGGTAGTGATGTGAGGCTGGTCGGAGGTTCCAGTTCAATGGAAGGCCGCGTCGAAGTTCTCCACGAAGAAGTGTGGGGTAAGTCACCGGGGTATGGAGTAAGTCGCCGGGGTATGGGGTAAGTCACCGGGGGTATGGGGTAAGTTACCGGAGTATGGGGTAAGTCGCTGAGGTATGGGGTAAGTCACCGGGGTATGGGGTTCATTTCGGAGGTGTCCTTGGAGACACACTCTCTATCTCCCTCCCAAGGAACGGTATGTGGCGATGACTGGGGATCTGAAGATGCGCAGGTCGTCTGCCACCAACTCGGTTTCTATGGCACCGCTACGGCCGTACGAGGCACGCAGTTCAGCTTTGCGTCGTTGAGCCAACCGATCTGGTTGGACGACGTGGGGTGCACGGGGTCAGAGATGTATCTGTCCGAGTGCAGCCACAGTGGCTTTGGAAATCATGACTGCTACCACTACCAAGACGCTGGCGTCGTCTGTCAAGGTATGTAATCTCACTGAGAGGGATAACAGTTTTTAACTAGTGTAAAGTCTACGTTTTGTTTTTCCATATTCTTGACGGGGTGTGTGGCAGTATAAGGGCTAAATTTAGAAACTGTTACTGAAAAAGGAAGCACTGGGCCCTATTGTTTAGTTCCATCATTCGTAACCTTCTAAATTTAGAAACTGTTACTGAAAAGGGAAGCACTGGGCCCTATTGTTTAGTTCCATCATTCGTAACCTTCTAAACTTAGAAACTGTTACAGAAAAAGGAAGCACTGGGCCCTATTGTTTAGTTCCATCATTCGTAACCTTCTAAATTTAGACTGTCACGTTTCCCTTTGTCACGCCACCTACGTGAAAATGCATCATCCTTTTCGTGAGCTATATGACACGAAAGAGCCTTTGAAATATATTTTTTTTTTGAAAGTTTTTTTTTTGAAGGTTCGCCATTTGCGATTCCTGTTCGTCTCTCGAATGGAACTCGACCGAATGAGGGAACTGTAGAAATATTCTACCAGAACAGGTGAGAGATTACGGGCTAGAATACTAGTTAGATTACTGACTACCAGATTACAGGAGTTTGCAAATCTTTTAGATGGGGCACTATTTGTGATATTTTCTGGACGCTTCAAGACGCCAACGTAGTCTGCAGACAACTCGGATATGACGGTACGTACGGTACTAGAGTTGGGAGAGTGTGAGGGGTTAAATCTGGGGGTATGGCAAAGGCTTATGTGGTGTCACTAGCACTGTGCACTCTGACCCACCATTTATAGCCAGTCCTACATTTTTGTTTTGTAAGATATAGTCCCTTTTTAGCCTTCCTTTCCCTTACTTACATGCCACATGGCCAAACACAAATCTGAAATACAAAAACTTTTAGTAAGGATAAAGTTTTAACCAATGAATTTGAGAGGGGCACGATTTGATATTTAACCAGTGATTAAAGGGCTCAGGAGGAGTCCTCAAACTAAAATTTGAAGAAAAAAAAGTTGGGAGAAATTTTCACCCTCTACAGGTGCCTACAATGCTACTCACAGCTCCTACTATGGCGACAGTGGGCTCACAACTGTCATGGCGTACACCGATTGCTTCGGACAAGAAAGCCAGCTGGCAAACTGCACCGGTTTCAGTTACTCTCCGTACATACCTCAGTGGTACTGCAACGACAGCACTATAGCTGGAGTCATGTGCATCGGTGAGATTACTAGAGATTACTAGAGTTTCCTAGAGAATACTGAGAGAATACCAAGTGTCTTGAGTTTACTGAGAGTTCACCGAAATAAATGTGCAGGATCAACATATTATGTTCAGTTGATTAGAGATTACTAGAATTTCCTGGGAGATTACTGAGAGAGCACTGATTCGAGTACATACATGTACCCAGGAATGGAGGAGGGCCCGCCGCCGATCCGTCTGGTGGGAGGGTCGGTGGCCAACGAGGGAAGGGTGGAGATTTTGGTCCAGGGGCAGTGGGGCACGATATGCGACGACATCTGGGACCCGGCAGACGCCGAGGTGGTGTGCCGACAGCTGGGCTATCTCGCCGAGGGAGCCGCGGCACTCCAGTTTGCTCATTTCGGAGAGGTCTGACATTTTTCAACATTACCTTAAAAAATTTTTGCTCAGCAAAACCTGTTTTTGTGTCTACATCCCCACTGAGAAAGTATATACTTTTACCAAAAATACGTACTGTTCACGGCAACGTTAGAATTTTTAACAGATTGCGAGGCATAAATTTTTCGCTCTCAAATAAAAAATTTCACTCAAAAATTTCCCCCAGGGATCGGGTCCAATTGTACTGGACGATGTGAACTGCACTGGACTTGAGCTGTACGTGACTGACTGCCCCAACTCTGGGTTTTACCTCCACAACTGTGCCCACTCAGAGGATGCTGGAGTTCGCTGCAACTGTACGTTGTATAACCAGAAGATTACTACTAGAGTTTCCTAGAGAATACTGGAGGATTACTAGAGTTTCCTAGAGAATACTGGAGGATTACTAGAGTTTCCTAGAGAATACTGGAGGATTACTAGAGTTTCCTAGAGAATACTGGAAGATTAATAGTTTCCTAGAGAATACTGGATGATTACTAGAGTTCCCTAGAGAATATTGGATCATGAAATGTTTTGGCGATTGAAGTGAGCAGTTCAATATTTCACGGGTGTTTTAGGATGACACGAATTTTTTTCGTGCGTATTTAAATATTCCGGTATGTGCAGTGTTCTAGATCTCAAAAAACAAGCTCCCTAACTTATTCTGTACGAATTCCAATTGATGCACACTTGTTTTGTTTTACCTCTACGTGTGCATTTCCCTAGTTGTTTTGAGCCAGTTTACTAACCACAAAAAATTGCCAATGGAGTTGAACTTTTTTCTCTCTCATCACTTTTTGCAGCTCGCGGTCCTCAGAATGACTACACTTATCCAATAAGACTAGTCACAAATGGGACGATCACACCCCCCAACGAGGGGACGGTGGAAATCCTTCACAATGGAACCTGGAGCGCCATTTGCGATGATTACTGGGGTTACTCTGAGGCCGCCGTTGCCTGCCATATGCTGGGCTTCGCAACTGCAGTTCGCGCATATATCAGGCTAGTAAATTTTAGTAAACCCTTGGAAATTTGTACTGAACTTGTATATAGTAAACCATTGAAATTTCTAGTAAACTATTGGGTAAACCCTAGTAAAACTTCTAGTAAAACCTTCCTGTTTTTCCAGGCCACTCTATTTTCCATTTTAATAATCCCATTTTCTAGTAATCTTCAGTAATCTTCTAGTAATTTTTTGTGATATTCTAGTAATCCTCCCTCCCCCTACAGATCATTTCATGGACCAGTAGACGGTGATACGTTCCTGGACAACGTCCGCTGTGCCGGGACCGAGAGAGAGATATTTGAATGCTCTCATAGCTCTAGTATCAGCAGAAACTGTGACAAAACTCAACAAGCTGGAGTCTCCTGCACCAGTAAAGATCTAGTGTCTTATGACGTGATAGTTTGTGGCTGCTCTTGGTATATCTGCTTCCTTCTCTCGTCCCTTCCTCCCTCTTTCCTTTCCTCCCCTCTTCCCCTTCTCATCTTTCGTCCCTCTTTCTTCCCTCTTTCTCTCTCTTTTCTCTTCATGTTCATCTTCTCTAACTCTTTCTCTCCCTCCCCCCTCTCTACTTTGCTAGACTACACAGCCAGTGAGTATCCAATAAGACTGGTAGGAGGCAGTGACCCACACGAGGGAAGAGTGGAGATATACTATCAAGGAGAGTGGGGGACTGTTTGTGACGACAGCTGGGGACAACAGGATGCCGATGTAAGACTTGCCAATGTTGAAAGTGAAAGTTGGGTATCTTGTAAGAACATGTTGAAGGTGAAAATAGGTGAAAATCTCCCATTCTAGAATATCAGCACTTGCACCCTTCAGCTATAGCAAAGGTTTTGCGATAATTGACTCCTCTCCAATCCCTCTCTCTCTCTCCCGCAGGTGGTATGCCACCAACTGGGCTACGCAAACGCCAGTCGCGCAACAGTCAGGGCGGAGTTTGGTCAGGGCACAGGCGAGATCTGGCTCGACAATGTCGCCTGTACCGGTTACGAAAACTCGCTTGACGAGTGTCGTAACAACGGCTGGGGCGACCATAACTGCATACATAGAGAAGACGCCGGAGTTGTTTGTCAAGGTGAGCATTAATTGGGGAAAACACTTGTTTTCTCCAGAAGAAAGTATAATTGCTCGTAAAGGAACCGGATGTGGCAGTATATAATTATGGGCTAATATACTGAAAACGTATATACATATGGCATTCTTGAACTGGGCCCTTTTACATTTCTAGTTTAGGCAAATTCACTTTCAATATTGGGTGCCACAATGCTACAGGTCCATCATTTAACATTTCTGAAATACTTTTTTACTATTTTCTTTAATGGTGAAAATTTTAGTTGGGACTACGGTTTTAAAATGCCCCTCCCTCTCCTCTCTCTCCCATCAGGCGAGCTACTTCCGATTCGTCTAAGAGACGGCCACTCGGAAATGGAGGGCAGGGTTGAGGTGTACTACAACGGCATGTGGGGGACGGTGTGCGACGATTACT